CTTGACTTTGGATTTGAATTTAGGCTTGACTTTGTGCTTGATCAGTCATCTTTATAGCTTCCTGAATTGTATTTTGAGATTTACTCTTCATTTGTTGAGAAAGTATTGATGTTGCAGTCTTGCTGTATTGTATGAAATTAAATCATTAAGATCTCATATTGAAGTCGCTTTATAAGTTTGGCCGTGTGCTCATGAAGATGTACATGTAGAATGAGACTTGTAATGCATGTTTCTGAGGTAAGCTGAAACTGTTTTTCAAATGATTTTAAATGTGAAAAGCTATACCTAAGGAAGTCTTAAGCTTGTTTAGAGCTATGAGTTAAGGCTTGCATGCGAAAGAAGTTATTAGCTTATCTGAATTAGTAAAAGAAAAACGTTTTTGCTTTAATCTGTTATGTACTTGAGCTAATAAAGCCAGAAAAAATCATATTGTTTTGAAGTATTTGTTTAAGCATTTGACTGTCATGTTTTTAGTAAATTTTTTTCTTCACTTATGATTTTTTGTTGTTATGCAGGACACTGTAATGCTACTCCTGTATAATGTTTATTATAGATTATTTTGATTGCATTATTATGATAGGATTGGATAAAATTGCATCACATGAATTTCTAATGTTATTTATCTGTTATGCCAAACAGAGATCATGGTGACATGACATCGAAAAAATTCCGGCATGATAAGCGTGTTTATCTTGGTGCTTTAAAATTTGTCCCTCATGCAGTCTATAAACTTCTGGAGAATATGCCTATGCCCTGGGAACAGGTCTTCTTCTACCCACTTAATTGTTGGACTCATATTTTTAATTTTACTGTTTCTTTTAAGGTTTTTTTATCTCTTATTTAGGTTCGAAATGTGAAAATACTTTATCATATCACTGGTGCTATCACATTTGTCAATGAGATACCATGGGTTGTTGAACCGATCTATTTAGCACAGGTATGCCACTTGTTATCTATTCTTTTAATATGCCTTACGTTCACTTAGTCAGTATTTCGTTGCATATTTGAAGGGCATGGGGTCAAATCTATGTCTAATGGTCGAATTAGGCTACATTGTCCGGAAATTAGAAATCTTTTCCCAAACTATCAAGATAACGTTGTGGTTGATGTGAATCAACGATTTTGATAGCCAACTTGAGTTGGGATATTGGCTGCTTAAAATTCTTTTCTGTTTGCCTTTCATCTATGGTGCTTCGTAAAATTGTCCACAATACTATGCATCTTTTGGCCTGTTATTTAAGACGAAGGAACACTTACTACTTATTATTTGATCATTTTTTATTTTTTTATTCCTGGAATAAATTTTGGTTTTGTATTCTTAACCAGTGGGGCTCAATGTGGATCATGATGCGAAGAGAAAAAAGAGACCGAAGGCATTTCAAAAGAATGAGATTTCCTCCATTTGATGATGAAGAGCCTCCATTAGATTATGCTGATAACCTGTTGGATGTTGATCCACTGGAGGCTATCCAACTGGAATTAGATGAAGAAGAGGATTCTGCTGTATATACTTGGTTCTATGACCACAAACCTCTTGTAAAAACTAAGCTTATTAATGGTCCTAGTTACAGGAGATGGCATCTCTCTCTTCCAATAATGGCGACTCTTCATAGATTAGCAGGGCAATTGCTTTCTGATTTAATTGATCGGAACTATTTCTACTTGTTTGACATGGAATCATTCTTCACAGCGAAAGCATTGAATATGTGCATACCTGGTATATTACT